TTCTATCAACATTACTTATCACATAACTGAGGTTACGTTGTTACTTTCTTCAAACTGTATTGTATTCTATCAACATTACTTACCACATAACTGAGGTTACGTTGTTACTTTCTTCAAACTGTATTGTATTCTATCAACATTACTTACCACATAACTGAGGTTACGTTGTTACTTTCTTCAAACTGTATTGTATTCTATCAACATTACTTACCACATAACGAAGTTATGCTGCTACTTTCTTCATGCACAAACTTTCTTGTAACAGCTTCTTCCATTATCTGTTTCACCTGAAAAACACGACAGTTGTTACAAGTTTACCACACTACAACAAGTAAACAGTTGTTATAAGCTTACTCTACAAAACGATAAAATTATAGTAAACGGGCTAAACGTCCATCCTAGCAACGTCAAGTCCAGACACGGCATTCCTTAAATTAGAACTATTGATCAGAGGGAAGGCAATCAGTCAGGAGCTCACACCGCCGCTGACACGATTATTCTTAACCTGACTGGCTGTTACGTCATGACGCCACCTGAGCTATAAATATTCACTAGAATATCACGTAACGAACCTCGGACCTTCAGTCTGCAGCCCAGCACATTAACCACTTTCGAAAAACGAAACAAAACAACGTTGTGTGTGTGTGTTGCAAAATAAACATAAAATAATTATGGTGTAAGGTGAAAATATTTATAGATACACCGATTGTTATGAAACTTATCTGCCCATTGTACATATATCTAGAGTAAGAAAAGCCGTCTCACCAGAGGGAGACGTTGAAATAAATAGGAAGCTTTCAATAACCTTTCAGCGGGTTCCAAACGAAACACAAAACATCGACCAACAAACATCACATATGTTTCTTTCACTTTAGGGATTAGCTTCAGGGTTCTAATAGCACGAAACTCTTATCGCTGGCTGTAGTGTACACAACGTGTTCTGGGATAAAAAGCTTTTACCAATCGCAAAAGTAATCGTATTTTTGTCTTTGCGAAAATGAAGAGCTTTTCAGCAATCGAAAGAAAATACTCTATACCGAAACATTATTTTTACATCTCAGAGAAGAACAAAGAAACATTATTTTTACATCTCAGAGACGAACAAAGAAACATTATTTTTACATCTCAGAGACGAACAAAGAAACATTATTTTAACATCTCAGAGAAGAACAAAGAAACATTATTTTTACATCTTACAGAAGTAAAAGAACCTTGAAGAGGGCTTGCTAACATATTGATCCTAAATACAGTAGATACAAAAACAAACAAACAAACATTCACTACTACATGTAGAACACAGTAGACATTCACTACTACATGTAGAACACAGTAGACATTCACTACTACATGTAGAACACAGTAGACATTCACTACTACATGTAGAACACAGTAGACATTCACTACTACATGTAGAACACAGTAGACATTCACTACTACAAGTAGAACACAGTAGACATTCACTACTACATGTAGAACACCGTGGACATTCACTACTACATGTAGAACACAGTAGACATTCACTATTACAAGTAGAACACAGTAGACATTCACTACTACATGTAGAACACAGTAGACATTCACTACTACAAGTAGAACACAGTAGACATTCACTACTACATGTAGAAGACAGTAGACATTCACTACTACATGTAGAACACCGTGGACATTCACTACTACATGTAGAACACCGTGGACATTCACTACTACATGTAGAACACCGTGGACATTCACTACTACATGTAGAACACAGTAGACATTCACTACTACATGTAGAACACAGTAGACATTCACTACTACATGTAGAACACAGTAGACATTCACTACTACAAGTAGAATAAAATAGACATTCAATACTACAAGTAGAATAAAATAGACATTCAATACTACAAGTAGAATAAAATAGACATTCACTACTAGATGTAGACTACCATAAACTGTCTCTACTAATATAGAACACATCAACTCTGCTAACATCCTAATGTCTAGAACAAAAGGGATAATACTAGTGCAGTGTTAAGGGCGTACTGTTGCATTACGGAAGCACGTGTTAACACAGCAATGTCATCTAACAGGAACATTTGATACTAAAAATGACGCCACGAGAAGAATGTACGTTTTCTAAACCACGTTTTCACTCGTATTTATTTACACTCTAAAATAGCTAATGTATAAACATTTTACAAAGTTGCTTGACATAAACACTAAAACATTTCAAAACTTAGACTGTGGGTAGAAACCTAAGAACATAGCTGATCCTTCATACTCTCGTTTCAAGTGGGACTTACACTGGACCAAACGATATGAATTCTACAAATAAATAATATCAGGATATTAGCTTTTGGAATCGTCAATATTTTCTCCAGACAGGAGAATTAAAATGGTTTGATGGTTACACCTTCTAATTAAAGGACGTCCCATGTGTATCGAACAACACACACGCGTACTGATTAATTCACGTTTGTAATAAACGAGGCTTAGTTTCAGAAGTAAACATGGCGTAACTATAATTGGTTTTCTCAGTAATTGATCCGATTCCAAGATACATCACCCATCTTCACAAAATAAATAAAAATATCTACAAAAAGCGGTGTGGTTAAACATCTACAGTGTAATACTTTCATTGTGCAGTTCTTTCCCACACGTTACATTGTTCGACGTAAATTAAGACTGGGTGACGGAAGCCGAACAAGGCTTAACAATTAAGACAGAGTGACGAAAGCCGAACAAGGCTTAACAATTAAGACTGGGTGACGAAAGCCGAACAAGACTTAACAATTAAGACTGGGTGACGAAAGCCGAACAAGACTTAACAATT